GTGTAAGTGAGATAAGTAATAGAAATTGTGAAGAAGTGAAAAATTTAGAAGTAAAGAATCAAGTTACGATTCTAGCAAGAAGGAGGTAGTTTACTTATCTTAAAGTTTTATGCTTAAATTCATGTTTTGATAATGAGTTTACATGTTTATAAGTAAGTATATCATGATTTAGAAGTTAAATTTATAATTGATTCTATGAATACAAAGAGTTAAAGTTGTTCAAGATCAATTATATGATATATGTGCTTGATTTGATGAGATGTTGATAAAGATATGAATAAGCTGGAAAAGTATGATTTAAATGAATGATTCTTATGTAAAAGAGGAGTACATGAGAACAAGAATTAAGTGATTTGGCAAAGTATAGCTTGAGTTATGAATTTTTGAAGTTGAACATGCAAGATGAATTTTATGTTCACTGTGACTTTAAATTCTAATAACTTGATGTATATGCATGCTAAAATTATGAAATTTTTATGACATGTCTAATTATGAGTTGAGATTATGACTGTTAAGTTTCATGATTTGAAGATGAGAAATGAATGAGTTATGATAATCACAAGGCACATATGTAAAGATGAATATATATGCAAGAATATTCATGATATGATCAAGTTATTAAAGTGAGATTATTATGATCAATTCTCATATAAGTGATGAGCAATTTGGCAAAGTTTTAGTTTAATATGTTGAGTATATAATCTCATAAAGATTGTAATAAGTATGACATATTAATATCATGATTAAATGTTATGATTAAAAGTTGAAGTATGACTTGAGTTTATTTTCACTTTCAAGTTAATTAAGTGAAAATTTAATATAAGCCAATATTTAAAATTTGGGAGATATGATGTATGATGAATTAAGTATTTGATTGAGTAAAAGATTAAGATGAGTTTATAAATCATGTTGATGATGTTGGAAAAAGTTAAGATGTTTGATGACTTAATATTTATTTGAGACATATTAAGCTTATTGAATATCTTTAAGATTCATATAAGTAAGAGTTAAATCTTATTGAGTATACGAGCATAAGACTTAGTATATTTGTTTATATTTTTATGTAGCTTGCAGATATAGCTACCCAAGAGCAACACTTACATTTTTCAAAAGTTTTCAAAAGAAGAAAGGTGGGGACCCAGACTGGGTATTACATTGAGTATAATATTGATATCATGTTCGAGGTATGTATACAGTTTAAGTTTATACGCTTGGGATGAGGAGGCATTCAGTTGTCTCAAAGTATATCCTAAGTTCTGATGGAGGCCGCTTGAGTTGCCTTGAGAAATATCCATCAGATTGTGCACAAGTATCCGATCAGATTCAGTTTAAGTTACTGGAACAGGTTTCCAGTCCAGATATATACCAAAGATCATGATATTGTATTATTATTGCTGTTTACTTTAGTATGGGTGTTTTTCAGGGTACAAGAGGATCAGTACTCACTCCCATTGTGTTTTTCAGGTAACAAGGTCGGGACGGAGGTGTGAGCTGAGCAGTGGTGGTGGTGGTCGGGCACTTATTTCAAGTGGACATTTATTAAGTATTTGATCTGTCTGTATAATAAACCACGTTTTTAAGTATTTCCCTACGCACATTAAGTATTGAACTTGTATTTCAGATTTCAAGTTTTTACCATTTCGAGAAGTATGAATATGGTACAGTTAAATGCAAGTTTAAAGGAAATTTGTTTTCTTTATGTCTACAGAAGTATTAGCAAAAGTTTAAAGATAAATATATTTTCAAGAAGATGAGTTTGAGTAGCATCCCGAGTTAGTCGCAAAAGATTTCGAAAGATTTATAAGTATTTTCGAAGTAAAAGTTGCGAAAAATTTACTCTGATGAGCGGGGTGTTACATGATAAATTTCCTTGACCTCTTCGTGATCGGTTTTAGGCAGGAGAACGGAATGTCCTCCCTATAACCATCCTCGCCATATGGAAAAAGAATAGGATAATGGAGAGCCAAGTAGGAAGCGTTCAACTCGTTGATCTGCTGCAGACGTCTGCTCCGATTTTCTACTATAATATCTCTGCTGCCCATAGCATAATCGAAATCCCCAACAACTAAGGCGGCAACTTCAGAAGTGGAGGAAATTATAACGCCGACCATCCTTGTTCCTTCTACCGATAAGACGCATCTTAAGTTCAATTTGCTGGTCCTGCTTCACCGTCTCTCGCGCCATCCTGAACAACTTGACCAAAACATTGTAATGATCGAGTAGCTCCTTTAAACCACGAACTACATCCTCATCTAGGTTATATCTGTCAGAACCTCTCCTGACATAAATAAAAAATTATATTGAATTAGTAAAGATAATGTAAAACGCAATGAAGAAAAACTAAGTACTCAATTTTGAATGCTAAAAATATATATTATATACATATATACTTATATATACCTTACAGAAGACAATCGGTTTGATACTTCGTTCTCTGTGTCATAGATGTACAAGTGAGTAAATTTCGGAGGGGACCCATGATCGGGTAGCAAACTACCCATTAAATGGTAGTTCTGACCGTACAAACGGAAGACGGGTGGGTCGTTTCCCTTGTTTATGTCGGTGGATGTAAAGCAGAACATGTTCTTGTATGACCGAATATTTTCTTGAAAGTGCTTGCTCTGAGGACCCGTCCCAAAAATAAGATCACGCAGAAAGGGGGGCGGCGGAGTGTAAACGGTTGGAAGTTCGATGAATCCGTTGTTGCAGCACCCAAAATACTTAGGGACCTTAGGTTTAGATGGCTTGCCCAGTCGCTCGGAATACCAAAATTTGGCACCACAGTGAAGGCAACAAAACGATGCATCGCCAATCCCAATATTCTGCAGAATTGTAGTATTCAAATATATTAACAATTTATTAATCATTTTATATACCATGCTCTAAACAAAGATAAAAGGATTTGAAAGATAAAATATGAAAAAAGAAAAAAAATAAATACATAAGTAAAATAATTACCAGTGCTGATGGATGAGTGCGAGGAACTGGCCAATGACGATGAACCTCTAGTATTAATGGGCATTTGAGGAAATACGTTCCTCGGACGCCCGCCTACATTCTTCTGAGCTGGCAAGTTTAATGATGAAACAATATAAATTATTGTATTATTATTTAAAAAATACCATATACATATTTTCAAGTGATTTTTTTTTCTTGTTAAAAATAATTAATTTAGACAAATTGATAATAAAACTATAATTACCATTTGTGGGGGAGGTAATGTGCACCTCGGACGTCCTCGTACGTTCTTCCGAGGTGGTAAGTTTAATGATGAATCTGCACACAAATGGATTATTATTAAAAAAGAACAAAAAAAATTATCACTTAAATATACATGATCCAATAAAAATTGTTTTCTTTTATTAATAATATATAAGTTCAATAAATTGGAAACTAATTTAGAATTACCATTGCCGACATGGTTACCCAATGTTGTAGGGGTAGCATTTTGTTCGACGTCCGTTGTAAGATCAACGAAAGGTACTAAACCACTCCAAGATGTATTCGTGAGTTGAGTTATGGAACTATTCTGAGAGGAACGTTGAGAATTTGCGAATTGAAAAAAACTAAATTAATGAAGATTGTCAAACGCAATGGCAGTAGAAATGCTACGAGTAAAAAATAATTGAATATTAGAGAATTAAAAAAATTGTATACCTTCACATCATGAAAAACAAATTCATGTCCCCTGATTTTTGTTTTGTTCGACTGATAAAAGCGTGGGTAGGTTCTGACCAATCTAAGTCTTGCTGTCTTATTCTTGTTTTTGGCCAAGAAGGTCAAATTGTTAAAGATTGATGCCATTGCTGTTTTTTCTAAAACGTAGGAGGAAAGTGTTTTTGTTTGGATAGTTAATTGCAATGAGGTTGTGAATGAATGGTGGACCTATATATATATGGTCTTAGTATGGTCAAAATCACATTGGCACATTTAATATAAAATATTTATTAATAATAATATGTGCAAAAATCACTCTTCTTGTTTGTGTAATATATCACATTATCTTTCACTTTTCTGCATCCCTCTCTTTTTCCTTCCTTTCTGAATTTGTAACTGATATTTGGTTCTTAATAACTAACAACCCAACCCACAAATACCATTCCCGCCGCTTTTTTTTTTGCTTTTAAATTTCATTTGAATTTTATTTAGATTTAGATTACCGGCCCATTTTTAAATGCTTTCTAATTTCATTTCATTTAGTTTAAAATTTAGTTTGCCCGCCACTTCCATTGCTCTCCATATTTTGTAACTGACAATCAATAATAAAATATGAATAAATCATGTGCGAAAATCATGGAATAATAACATTCCTATATTGTTTACTGATTTTTATTTTTTTTATTTTTTTTTTGCAGGTCTAATCGAAGTTTAAGGGTGGTCAATTAAGAACGTATTTGTAATTTTTTTTAATTATTTTTTGGGGTGGTAAATTAATTTATTATTAAATGTAATTATTTGTATGTGTTGTATTAATTATTTGTATATGTGTTGTAATCATTCATGGAGCAAAATAAAAAAGAGTAAGAAAATAACTAATATTAATTGGAAAAATAATTCATATTAGACGTGATTGTAACTGCCTAATCATATTAAATAATCAGCATAATCCATGCAAATAATAAGGTATGTATTTAATAAAAAAAAAGTTCTATATATACATGCCCTGTAACGTCTTTGGGCGGGAAACTGAAATCTTTTTATTAAATTTTTTATTAAATAAAATTAGCCAACAATTATATATATATAGATTTTGTAACTACATAAATTTTTTGTCAAGTTTGTATTATTCTAATACCTTTAACAATATTTGGTAGTTACGAAAATTTCCCCAAATTGGGGTGTATTATGTTAAAAGTTGGGCTTCTAATTGGTATTGGGCCCAATTTCCAATCCTCACCATCCATCACAGCCACTGTCGGCGTGTGCTCGGCGGGAATGCCGATGTGAATTTCAAAATTCAAAGCTTCTCAACAACAATCAAAAGAGAGGAAAAGCACAAGTGTTTTTTTTTTTTTTTTTTNTCCATCATTTTCGCAATGGACAAGTACGAGAAGCTGGAGAAGGTCGGCGAGGGCACTTACGGCAAGGTTTACAAGGCGATGGAGAAGGCGACGGGTCAGGTGGTGGCGCTGAAGAAGACGCGGCTGGAGATGGACGAGGAAGGCGTGCCCCCGACGGCTCTGCGCGAGGTCTCCCTTCTCCAGATGCTCTCTCAGTCTCTCTACGTCGTCCGCCTCCTCTGTGTCGAACACGTCGACGGCAAGGACGGAAAGCCCCTTCTCTACCTTGTCTTCGAGTACCTCGACACCGATCTGAAGAAGTTCATTGACTCCCACCGCAAGGGTCCAAACCCTAGGCCGCTCCCCCCGCAGTTGCTCCAGAGCTTCCTCTATCAGCTCTGCAAAGGCGTCGCGCACTGCCACAGCCATGGAGTCCTCCACCGCGATTTGAAGCCCCAAAATCTGCTCCTCGACAAGGACAAGGGTATACTCAAAATCGCAGATCTTGGCCTCGGAAGGGCTTTCACTGTACCCCTCAAGAGCTACACGCACGAGGTATGCCTCTGTATTGTTTGTTGAATGATTTTTTTCTCGATTTCCTTCCTTTT